GATGATATCCTAAGTCTATGCTTTTAATCTGAATGAAAATAATCATTGAAGAGCTTCTTTCAGGTCATGCATAGCGGCAGTAGTACAAGTGAAAATATTTGCTATAAGTTAAAGGATTTGATGAAAGAGATGTTTCATGTGGCATATGCTATAGATTTGAGTTTTGCTTGCACTAATTACTATGACCTGGTACAAGTCAGCTACCTGTTCTAAGTCTTACATATGTAACTGGTGAAGACTTAATTATAATGATGGTTAACAAATATCTAAAGTGAGTGTGAACCAAAACACTATATACATTATTTATTAGCCTGCCGCCTGTCAGAGAATAGATTTCATGCACATATGTTTGAATGGAATAGACAAAACAAATTCCACTTTCACATTGCCCTCTCTTGGTCTGCATGCTCATGCCATTAACACTACTCCAGCTCCCATAGAGGGGGAATTATCATTAGAAATTTCTATGTGTTTGGGTCTAATAGAGGGATGGTCAATTGTAAAATCAGTTAGAGCACTTAAAAATACAAATTAGATGTATATACTTGAAATATTCAATTTTTTTACTTAAACACTTATTCATTCATCGGTATTTTGAGATATGAATAATTCTTTTTTCAGTTTGCGTTGGCTAACTAGAGCCTCATGTCATGCATCCTACACCCTGTAAGTATTGCCCATCCACTCCGTTTTAGAAATCAAAGTTGTCAATGAAGCTAATTGATCAAAAGATCCTTCTATATACTTCCATCATTTTGTTTTTATAGTTGTCTTACCTATTCCACATTCTACAGTAGGTTGGTTTTATTGTTGTTTTTTGCTGAGTATTGTGTGTGTATGTGTGTGTGTGTGTGTGTGTGTGTGTGTGTGTGTGTGTAGGGTCTCATCTTGATTGAGTCATCTCAAAGTATTCAATTTACTTTTCATAGAAAAATAATGACTTTTTTGCACTTCAGCTCATTGGTTTATATATATTTAGTTAAATTATCTTCTTTTAATTACAAGTACAACTGGCATACGCTGATTCAGCAACAAACATACAGCTGACTTTTGTTAGGTGTACAGCTTCTCTGAGGAGATCAAGCATATGAAGCTGGTTTGCAAGACAGCAAGCACAACTGGGAGCATCCTGAGATATCTGGAGGTTTCACAGAGGGAATGGAAGGGACAGATGACTCTGAAAAATGGAGGCTGGTAAAAAGAGACCTGCTGTGAAAAAGGGTTGCACAAATAAAACAAAATGGATGAAGATGTATAACAGGGTTAGACTAAGACTAAGGTACTGGTTTTCATGTTCATTGAGAATTAATTGTCAGGCGGGTTGTCAAGCAACAACACAATGGCTAGAAAAGGCACCGGAGAACAGATCACTCAGCCCACCAGCCATCTTCCCCGACTACAATTATCTGCTAACATTTGAAGAATAAAGAAAGAGAGACGGGCTTGAAACAGAAACTCTTTAACGCTACCCAACAACAAACACAGAAGCAGAGAAGAGGACTGAAGCTATTAGAGATGGAGCCTGAAATGCATTTTCAAGAAAGGAAGTATAGAAATGTGGAGAAAGAACCCTGCACTGGCGGGAGCGCTAGATTTCAGGATGTGCAGGTTCCCTTTAAGTACAAGTGCTCTGTGCCAAATAATGAAGACAGGAAATGGGAGGAGGTTGAAAGAAAAAACTGCAGGGAAACTCTCATTTAATTCTTTGTAAATCACGAATAAAACACAGGAAGAGGGAGGCTCTTCCTAGAAATCACTTTATGTTTCTGCACATGCCTATACAGGTGGGCCGGACTTTGCAGGAGTTTGTCAGTGGTTACTTGGAGACTCCAGTGCAGAGAAATTTATTCTTAAACTCTTCTTAGGTGTTTAATATCATCAGCTGGCGAAGGAGCTGTCACCAACATGAAGATGATCTATATGACAGCATTTTTTCATTACTTTTCCAGAAAATGTAAGAGAAAATAAGGAAAGGCCTGAGATGAAGAGCTCTATTAGTCTTGTCCATCCTCTGTCCAGTAACTGAGCCCAGAAATTCTGTGTGGGAAATGGGGTTAACCAAAGATTGAGACCTAAACATTGAACTTGGGCCACACAGAGTTCTCTCTTTTTACCAAGGTGGAAATTTTTCAAGTAAAACACAGAGGCCCAATTGAACTGGCTGAAAATAAGTTCTTCACAGCTTTCCTGTTTTAAAAAAATGTATACAATACTACATATGTAGTCTTGAAAACCTTACCTCACTAGTTTCTCTCTAACTATGAAATTGACCTCATTTATTTTTCTCTACGGGTGTTTGCACACCACCTTCCCTGTATCCTAAAAAATGGCAACAAATTTTCAAAACATAGTTTCAGGAAACTAACAATATCATGTTCAGTTACCTAGAAAAATATAAATCGCATTCACACTACATTATTGGTTGCACATTTTGAGTTTCTCTTATAGAAAAACATTGGGACCAGAAATATTTCAGATTTTTTTTTTCAAATTTTGGAATATTTGCATCGATTTTACTGGTTGAGAATCCTTAATCTGAAAATCCAAACTCCCATATTCTTCAAACTCAGAGAAAAGTCTTGAGTGCAGATATTACTCTCAGAAAGTTTCAGATTTTGGATTTCCAAATTAGGATGCTCAGTGTCTTTCAGTTTTTATGTGGCTCCTTCTAGTGAGGCCCACAGGCTCTGGTGCCTGGGTTCCCCCATTTCCCATCCCGTCCTCATTGCGGCAAGGGAGCATCAACACTAACGAACAAATGGGTATACCTGCCCCACACTGGAACGGGAACCGGAAAGTTCCCTGGGGCAGAGCTATCAGGATGTGGCTCACTTCGCAATGGCACTTAAGAGAAGGGGACGCCCCCCACCACCACCACTGGACATCTGAGCTAGGCTCTTGGAATCCTCAAAAAGAAAAAAAAAAAGTATCCCTTGTTCTTTTCATGTGTGTGTGAGGATTTTAGAACTATTTGAATTAACAACACAAGACCCTTAAAAGATTCTTACAACATTCAAATGACCAACTAGTAAATCAGTCATTTCATTTTGCTTTGTTTTCTTCATGTCAATAACGAGCCTTGGGGAAACTCAAGAACGTGCTTCTCCCACAAGCTCTTAGGTCAAGAGAGACAAGTCAAAAGACCACACAAGCACTCTGTTCTGCTATTTCTTTGCCTAGGAGACACCGACATCAAAACATTCCTTGAAAACTGCTGTCATGTAAAAGACCCCTGGCCCTTCCTGAGATATTTCCTCCTATTTTTCTGGTCTACCAGCTCATATTAGGTTCCTTAAGCCCAAATTCTTGCCATATTCCAGTAAGAAGTAAATAAAGTTCCTCAGATTCAAATACCTAAAAGCTCATAGGAAAAGGTCATTCTTTACCTTTGCCACCTCCAATTCAAAAGGGAGTGTTGTTTCTTTAGCCTGGCACACTTTTCCCAGGCCTGGGGGTTTCTGTAACGTTTCCTGAGTTCAACAAAGAAGAGAGTGTGGAAGAAACTACAGCGTTTGGTTGACCACCTCCTCAAAGCCTAAAAATAGTCAGTGTTGATCCCTGTACCAAAAACAAACAACAAAAACCAAACAAACCACACTCTACATACAAAGAACACTGCTTCTTCTGAGCATGTGTTTCCTGTAATTAGTGTGAAGAGTTCCTTCACTGTTCCCTGAAAGTTCTTGGATTTATAGCACAGGACAGATACGGAGGAGGAGCTATCTTCCCAAAGAACCACTCTTGCTGGTGAAATCCTTCCTTCATGTTTATGTACTTCTTCTAGAGTTGTGTCTGGTAACTTCTGAAACCTTTCCTGCTTCCTGAAAATGTTCCCAACAAATCAAAAGAGAGGTGGTTGTTCAATATTTGGACATCATTCACCCAAGAGAGTCAAGACTTTTGGCCCATGTGATCTTCACAGAATTTTTCAATCTTCAAACCCTAGGACTCTTTCCAGTAGATTATGAGTTTATGGAGTCCTTGGTTCTGTCCGACACCCTGCTTATTCGTGGGGTTTCACTCCTAGTAGACATTCAGTGTGGCTCTGCTACCTGGATGGGGAGTGATACGGATGAGAGGTGGAACTGTGTAACTCCACACATCACCTGCTCTCTATTTCACTGTTTTTCTTATCATCAAGTCTTAGAACAGGAAAGCAAAGCTATCATTTGTTCTTAAATATGATTACCATAACTTCTGCATTTAGAAATTATAACTTACCTAGCTGTTTCCCATCACCTTTACCTGACCTTTTGATTTTTTTTTACAATACTCATAGCATATATTTTTCGTACAACTTATTTATTTTCCTATTCTTCCAATAGGATTGTAAACGTGATGAGGGCAGCATTACCTGACAATCTTACTCAGAACTGTATATCAGACACTCTGCATACTGCCTAACGTGTACTAAGGGCTGAGTTAACTATTTATCAAATCAATAAAATGAAGGAATAATCATTAGTGTGTTCTCTGTATATCAGAATCACTATAGGTTTTTAAAAATTTGTTTTGTTTTAATCTCCAGACCCAACTTCCCACGGAATCAGAATACTTAAGGGTGTAAAATCCAGGAGTCTACATTTCAAACAAAGAGTCTAAGTGATTTGGGTATAGCTAGCTATTCTGAGAGCAACCGGTTCAACCCCTCACTATTCTAGAGAAATCCTGAACCCCAGGGAGGTAGAGGGACTTCCCGGCCGCTGTACAGATAAGCAGCAGTCATCCAACTTTGAATCTCTGTTCTGATAAACTTTCCACTCTGGTTATCTATGACCTGGATCTGATATATCTGTTGCTAGCCCATCTTTGGTCTTTGAGATTTAAGCCACTGGAAGCAAAAATGACAGCTTCTGGACATACTTTGTACATCTCAATAGACAGGAAGGGCGTTAGATGGGAGAGAGCAGCAAAAGACTCCCGGGTTCTAATACTGACTTCCCACAGAACAGTCCGATTTCCATGCTAAGTTGTCCCTCTGTCTCTCTCTCTCCTTCTAGTTCCTGGACATCTCCATTAAGTGGACCACCCAGGAAACCTTTCCTCCCAAATACCTTCATCAGGACCCAGAAACCTCGCGCCAGCTCATGTGCGACAAATGCCCCCCGGGCACCTACCTGAAACAGCATTGCACTGTGAGGAGGAAGACCGTGTGCGCTCCCTGCCCCGACCACTCCTACACGGACAGCTGGCACAACAGCGATGAGTGTCTGTACTGCAGCCCCGTGTGCAAGGAGCTGCAGTACGTCAAGCAGGAGTGCAATCGAACGCACAACCGCGTGTGTGAGTGTGAGGACGGGCGCTACCTGGAGCTGGAGTTCTGCTTGAAACACAGGAGCTGCCCGCCCGGATTTGGCGTGCTGCAGGCTGGTGCGTATCTGCTCCTGGAGGGTGGCAATGCCAGTTACAGTCCTGCAAAGCCAGACAGCGGCAAAAGTTTCAGGGGACGCTTTTGTCCTGATGACGTACATACGTGATAGCAGATTGCAAAGGTAGTGAAACCTGTGAGGTAGGAGCTGTGTGTCCGGATGGCTTCCAGAGGACCTTTCTCAGAGGAATACTTTGCCACTACAGGATGATTTAGTGAAGAATCTCAATTGCTCCCTAATGAGATGCATGATGGATTGCTCTTTTTTAAAGGAACTCACTCTGAGTTGTGCCCTTCTTACTTGATATACATTTATCTCTAAGTCCATGCAGCGTGGACAGCCTCAGACTGCAGTGCTCTCTGACAAACATCAGAAATGTTAATTGATACCAAGAGAGTAATTATAGTGATATTAATGAGGCTCTGGAGTGCTAACAATGAGCAGCTGTAATTAATTATGCAAAAAATGAGAATGGTTAGGGGAAACGCATTTCATTATTAGAAATGAAGCTAGCTCTTCCTTTGGTGTGGGAGTTGAGTGCCTGGGAGGATAAAGATTGTAGCAACTTCTCCACCCAGCTTATTCTTTATCTTAGACAAAGCACATCACATCAGCAACCTGAGAGGAAGCCCTTGACTATAAGCAAAGTACTTTCTCTCTGCATTTCTAACAGCAGAGGTTAGGGTGTGTGTGCATTGAATCTTTTAAAAAGCTGCAACCACAATCACAGACTCAGTGTAGGCTCTAACTTCATGTGGCTTTAGGAGACCGAGTGTTCTCTTACTTAGCTGAAGAAAAGGCACAGTCGTTACAGCTTCTGACTGTTCACTTTGAAGCTGTGTTTCTCAACATTATTGACATGTAGGCCTGGACAGTTCTTTTCTGTGGGGGGCTGGCCTGTGTACTGTAAGGTGTTCAGCAGTGTCCCTGGCCTCTGACCACCAGATACCAGCAACAGTCCTCTCTCCACTGCAACAACCAAAAGTGTCCCTGGACACTGTCCTTTGTTCTCTGGCTGGAGAACTGGTGGCCCAGGGGACACTGGTTATTTGTAGCTGTTCAACTTTCAAAAGTCATGATGCACACATTCCATTATTAGACAACAAATACTTTGGTTTAAAGGCATACAAAGGAAACCTACCCCCAAACTGAAACCTGCTCAGTTTCCCAAGTAGTGAATCCTAAAAAATTTGATTACAGCAGATTCCCTTAAAATGCTTCCAATATGAACCCTTGAAAGAGGAACTGGTAACATTTCCTACTTTTTTATTGGTTGAGGCTTGGCATTCAAATGCTAAGCCAAGTTGTAGAGTGGAAAAACTCACTCAATAACATTCATTCCAATGCAGTAAGTAGTGTTTGTAGGATAATTAAGCCAGGCCTACACAGGTCTGAAACTAAATTTTTTAAAAAATGGAAACAGCAAGGATGTTTCCCTCACAAGCATAAAAATCTGTTTGTTGAATGAAGTAAAAGGACAAATAGAAGACTGAGTGTAATTGGGTCCGCTAGCTTTCAGGTCCTTGCTTTGCAGCAATAAAGATAAAAAATTGAAAGCTACAAAACAGCACACAGAAAGCGGTGAGGAATAGTTGAATACATGTTCATTAGAAAGAGTAAGAGAGGTTCTCCGCTAGTCAGGGAGGGGTGGTCTGTGGTAGGTCCACTGGCCTTTTATACAGTTTTGGGGACTGCTGTACAGGACAGAAAGCAGGGGTGCTCCTGGTTGCTGGAGGGCTTGGATATCTGCAAAGAGAGCTGCTTCATCTGCATTTTATTTCCTCCAAGATCTCTCCCACGTGGTAAAGACCTATTCTTTGTCTCTTGCATTTCTTTAGGCCCCCATAGTGGTATGCAAGCTCACTCAGGCCCCTGATTTCTAGTTTACTTTATGTTACTTATTCAGGACCTGTTCCCTATCTGCCTCACTTCCCCTATCTCCTGGCTGCATTAGGACAAAGGCACACGTTTTATTCTCTGGTACCAGAGGGGAAATCATTTGCCTCTCCCTTTCTAAACACTCACATGGTAGTTCCTCATGGAAACTAAGAGGTTTACAGCCCAAAGAGAAGGCAGAGCTATGCAGCATTGCTGTGTAAACTGTTCAGTGGACACACTCTTTTATCTTAGTCGTTGCTGTTTTAAAGTCAGATTGTCATTCTCTCTGGCCAGCTCTCTAATTCCCATGGAATCACCTGTGGCCAGCGTGGAGAATTACGAACTACATGTAAGGCCAAACTCCTCTCGTCATTGAAATAGCTCACATTTGGCCTGCCAGTTTATAATTTTTGTTATTTCCACTGAAATTAATAAAGGAAAATTTGTTACCTAGATGAATAAATGTTACATACAAAAAGTTTTATCAAATATAAAGAAGAAAATCCCGTTCAGAAAGGTCATGAGAGGAAGCCTGTGAAACTCTGGCTCTATTGCTCTGGGTTTCCTGTCTTAAGGAATTTTAAAGGCTGACTTAACTTGCTTCCCTGTGTCTCACACACATGATCTTCTCAGTAGGAGGCACGAGAAGACCCAAGGAGCACACATCCAAACAATGATAAGATTCTAGCCTGCAGCATGTGGCATTTGGAAAAAAGGACAGTTGGGTCCACATGTCCAAACAAATACCAAATAAATTTATTATTTATCCAAATAAATTAGCAGCACATGTATGCCACTGGATCCCTAGCCAAATATAAACATCTCTTTCGATGAAATGTAGAATTTGGTTCAAAAATTCTATGTAAGGAAAAGAGTGTAAGAAAGAAAATTTTAAAAGATATACAAAACAAAAACTGCTTTTTTCCTAAGATCTTGTCACAACAGTGATGCTGTACTTCCTCTCCCTCCCACACTCTTTTTTTCCCTTCCAACCTTTTGTCCTCTTTATGGGTCAATGAATCACCAGTCTTTTTAGAAAGGAAAAAGACAAATGAAACTAGAACCGATCCATTTTTGCTCCCCGCCCCCGCATTTTTTATAGAAAATCTAATAGAGGTTGAAATTCTTAATAAAATGAAGTCAAATAACTTCATGTAGCTTTCATTTGCCTCATGTATGTTACTTCATAAGCCAGAATTAGCCCATAAAAGTCTACATCTGAACACTGACTTCTAAATCTGTTCAACTAGCTTACGCTAGATGGAGATGTTTTCATATGCAAATACATTATAATGCATGATCCGCCTGTGCAGAACAGCGTCAAGGGTTTGAAGAAATTTATTGCTGGCAGCATCTTCAGTTGTTAGACCGGCTCAGATTTTCCTACCAGTGCGTTCTCCAAATTTATCAAGTAGTTTACCGGCGTGAAATAAAACGTCCTTGCAGTTAACGGCTGTGCTCTTTCAGGCGACTGTGTGAGCAAGGGTTTATCATCTTCCGTTTACTGCCGACCTCACTGCAGGCTGGTGCTTCGAGTCAGCGGCCGACTTTACAAACACCTTCAAGACTTTATTATAATGCTGTCAATTTTTACTTCTCAGCGTTAACCTCTCTATGAGTTGCTTCCCAATTAAGCTTCTTCTTCGGAAGTGCAGACCTGCTGTAGGAACTGACTGAAATTTGACAGTGCAAAATTTCAAAGGATGATGTTGCGGGCAGACAGCGCAGTCATCGCGATGATTTTTAAGGAATAATTGTGCGAACATAGTGGCTGACAATAAGCCTTCCTGCCTTTAGCAGAGGCAGGACCACATTTCTTTTCTTCCCACATTTCAAGAGTGTACTGTAGGTAACACATTTGTATTACAGGAAGGGGAGCCTGCCCCCAGGCTGACTGGAGAGGTCTGTTCTGTCTAATGAATTTGAAAAAGGAAAGAGCCTAAAGTTTCGCACGCCACCCTCGTAGAGATAAAAACCGAGTCGTCCCAAAAGCGTGTCAAGAGAGTGTCTGGTGTGAGGTGATGGGGAAGGAAGTGCTAAAGGCTGGGTGTTTTCTGCAGGAACCCCGGAGCGGAATACAGTCTGCAGGAGGTGTCCGGATGGCTTCTTCTCCAATGAGACGTCACCTAAAGCACCCTGCAGAAAACACACGAACTGCAGCTTACTTGGGCTCCTGCTAACTCAGAAAGGAAATGCCACAAGTGACAGCATATGTTCTGGAAACAGTGAAACGACTCAGAAATGTGGAATAGGTAATCAGAGTTCCATAGGCCTTGGTTTCATTCTATCTCCGCATCTGTCTCTCAGATGAACGCTGCAGCCTCTGGCCGTGTTCTTAGTCAAACTCACTTTCCCTACTTCTTGCACCTTAACCACATCACCAGTTACGAACGCCACACCTCTAAATCTCCCAAGTCCCCATCTTCTCGCCCATAAAACCCCCGACCTTCCGTCCTTGCTTTCACACCCAGACCAAGTCCTAACCCACCAAGTCTGTTGCTTCAGACCACATTAGCAGAGTTCAAAGTGCAGCATTTGAATTATAATTTTTTTAGTACTTTCAAGAATGTCCATATTATTAGCTAAAGTATAAATTGGCAACTAAGAAACAAACTGGCACAGACCAATGACACATTAGAAATATTTCCTTGGTTTTGTCACCCGTGGCACCAGTGAACTTACTGCATGAACGTTCCAGGGTCTCTGCTTGTCTTTGGTTATTTATTCACATTCCCTGTTGGTGAGGCCACTGGTTGGACTGGACCCTGGTTGGATGTCCTTCCTGCCAGGGGCCTAAGCTCAGGGCTCCTTGCAGCCAAGGTGACCTGTTTGCGAGCATAATCAAACAACGGCAACGGCCAGCGTGGCCCTCCCCAAAAACATCATTTTGTACTACAGAGAAGTATCTTTTTTGTACTAGACGCATATGAAGTATATGGAGCATAGGAATAAGAGTTGATATCTTGACGATTCCAACATAGCTCTAACAGTTTTTCACTGTGTCATAGAATTCTTAGATAAATCATTGAGCCTTTCTGTTTTTTTTTTTTAATCTAAAACATGAAATGAAATCAGAGGTCAAAAAGGACTTCAAATTTTAACATTCCCTTTCATTTACTTCATTCATTTTGAATTTTATTTTTGCACTTAATTGAGCACTGACTGTGTGCTGTGTACTTTGCTATGTAGGCTTTCATAGAAAAACACTGTGCCCGGTGGTCAGGGTTCATAGCGGCAGTGAAAGGCAGAGCTAGGATTTTAAGTCCTTTCTAATTAAGCTAAAGACAAACTCCTAATCCCTGGCATTACTCACTGAGCCTACCCAGACACTCAGACCATCCCAACTCTTTACTGAATTACCTTTTTGTGTTTATTCTCCCATTTAAGGCATACTTTGTGTGTGTATTTGTGTGTGTGTGTGTGTGTTTGTGTGTGTGTGTGGTGCTGGGAATAGAACCAGGGTCTAGCACATGCTAGGTGAGTACTCTACCTACCAATGAGTTATATCCAAGCCCTAATGCATAGTTGTACATTTGTGTTTATAGATACATAAAATAATATACTATTCCAGATAACTGTTCAAGGTGCTTATGGGCAGTGATACCTTACAGACACTAAGTGAGCCTATAACAGAGTGTTAACATTTACATTACAGGATTTTTACTATTATTTTATTTTACAGTTTAATTGGCTATAATTTAAATATATATGTTCACATTGGACACTAAGTAAACTCTCCCTGCCCTAAAAGTGCCCCCCAAACATGAGCCTGTTGGTTTCTCCCACTAAGAGCATCCAGCAGAAGGTCATTGTTTTTTCTTTTCTTCAGACTTCGAATTTTAATGTATTATATTTTGGAACGCTCAACTGTGCTGGGTTTTTTGTTTGTTTGTTTGTTTGTTTTTTAAAAGACTTCCAGAGATCCAGCTGTGGAATAAATGTTCCTGGTCTTCTCTCCTTTGTTCAGATGTTACACTATGTGAGGAGGCTTTCTTCAGGTTTGCGGTTCCCACAAAGTTTACGCCTAACTGGCTCAGTGTCCTGGTAGACAATTTGCCTGGAACCAAAGTCAACTCAGAAAGTATAGAGAGAATAAAGCGACGACACAGCTCACAAGAACAAACTTTCCAGCTGTTGAAGCTATGGAAACAGCAAAACAAAGACCAAGATATGATCAAGAAGATCATCCAAGGTACGCTTGCCTGAAATAAATGAGAAGTCAAGTTCATCTACTTGATGTAACACAGCCACGGGACCATGTGCCTGTGTGGTTATGTGGATGATATTTCTCCCTTTGTTTGGAGTTACTGTTGGGCTGAATGATTTTTCACTGAGTGATGAGGTCAACGCTATTCCTAGAAAGCAGTCGTGTGAAGCTTTATTCTCATTTCTGCCTCTATCTCTCTTTAAAGTGCACTGAATGCTCTAAAAGAGCAGAGATGCCCTTCAAATGCAGGAATGGGCCTTCATTCTTTTCTTAGCCACCCTTCTGGCCGAGCTAGCAGGTCTTTAGCAGCCTTAGATCTTGGCTCTCATTTCTACTCCAAAGCTATGAGATGTTTGTTTGGCAGTTCCTTCCAGAGAGGTGCAAACTGTCTTATAGGTATCCTCTCACTCATCCTCATACAGTCTCTATTACCATTTTGATAGCACTTTTGGTCAGGATGTGTAAGATCAGGACTGCAAAGTGCTTGAGCTTCTCGGAAGAAAGGGCTGGGTAAGACCGCATGCTCTTGTGTGCTAGAGGCATCTAAGGCATCTTGTTTAGAAATAGGGTGGAGGACAAGAGAGGAAGACAGAGAGGAAAAGAAACACAGAAAAGATGCCTAGGCATGACAGGCAAAATCCCAGAGAGAGGAAATAAGCTTCACCCTGTGTGGGTGAAAGCTTTAGGATGTATCCTGTTAAGACTTCAGTTGCCATGGTGAGGACCCGCTAGGAGAAGGACGGTGGGCTGTCCTAATGCCAACAGTGCTAAGGAGATATTCACCAGCTCTTCCCAAGTCCAGAAGTGAGTTTTCCTCTTTTCTGAAAACTTCAAACATCTGAAACCTGCACAATGGTTTTAGGAGACTAACATCTTTCGACAGCTAAATGCTTTCAGTTATGCAAAGAATAAACTTTTCTTCTGTTTGTGGTGAAACAAAAGTATTCTTTGAATGTATAATTAGCCCTGAAGCAAAAAGAAAGGGAAACAGAATCAGAAACTGTTAGAATAGGAAGGGATTAAATTCCTTCCTTTATAAATGAGGGCGTTGCAGCAGAAAGATGAAGTGACTTGCCTTAAGGCCACAGATACTAAATGACTCACGCCATTAGCAGGAACATTAGTTAGTCTCTCATATGTTTATGTCCGAGCTCTTGCTGAAACTTCCTCCCGGTGAGGTGTACTCTCCTATCCCTGCCTCTTCAGATGTCGCTCTCCCAGGGGAACTCCTCTAGAGCTGTACGTACTTATTAAAGACCAGCTAAAGCAGCTCTTTCCCAAAATACCTAGGTCAGATATCAACTAGCAAAACGCTACACTACAAAATAGTGATTTCTAACATAAGATAGTAATTTTTTAAATGCAAAAGTTTGTATTACAAAATTACTAACTTAATATTTTATTCCATTTTCCTGAAATGTTACAGTTTTAAGGGATCAAGCTGGGAACCCTGAGAGTGATGTTTCACCTTTCTACGGTTAATTTTCAAAGTTAGGGGCTCCTCACAAAGCTTTGTTGGGCACCTAGGATATACAGCATATTATCCTACTGTAACACAAAATAATATCTCTCTTAGCTCTCAGAAATAGCTAGTGTCACTTAAGCCACCTTTAAAAAAAAAGAAGAAAGGAAAAACTTACCCTTAACATAAAAATTATGAATTCTGCAAGAGCGTTTTGCCTCAGTCTGGTTTTGTGATGGCATTCGAGGAATATAAATGGCTGAACACCTCTTTGGGCTCTTGCTTTATGCAGATATTGACCTCTGCGAAAATGGGGTGCAGCGGCACATCGGGCATGCAAACCTCACCTTTGATCAGCTTCGCAGCTTGATGGAAAGCTTACCAGGGAAGAAAGTTGGAATAGAGGACATCGAAAGAACAAGAAAGATGTGCAAATCAACCGAGCAGCTTCTGAAGCTTCTCAGCTTGTGGCGGGTGAGAAATGGCGACCAAGATACTTTGAAGGGCTTGATGCACGCTCTCAAGCACTTGAAAACCTACCACTTTCCCAAAACTGTCACCCACAGCCTGAGGAAGACCATCAGGTTCCTGCACAGCTTCACCATGTACAGACTGTACCAGAAGCTGTTTCTGGAAATGATAGGCAACCAGGTGCAATCAGTCAAAATAAGCTGCTTATAACCGGAAATACTCACTGGACTCTTTTCCTGATGTGCCAGATCTGTTGGATGAGTAGATGGTTTCTCAGGCTCCAGGGGAGAATAGTGATTTCTTTCTCATCATCAATGCCTGGTTTTGCCACAGGGCACCAAAAGCAACTATGATGGGCAGAAAGAACTATTGCCTCTCCAAAAGTTCAGTAAATCCCAGAGTTCATCCCACTGTCAGATCTGGCCCTGTACCTACTGAACAGATTTTCTCCATTACCGCTTGCGGTAATTCAACTGGAATTAATAATAATGATAATAATAATAATAATAACTAGACTCCATTTTACCTTTCTAAATATGGGAATGTCTGACTTTAATAGCTTTGAGATTTCGGCTGCGCTAGAGGCTTTTATTAGAAAGTCATATTTTTTTCTGTAAAAGTTGCTAATATATCTGTAACACTATACAGTATTGCTATTTATATTCATTCAGATATAAGATTTGTACATATTATCATCCTAGAGAGAAATGGTATAAGACTTAATTTTAGAAAGAAAAATATATTCTGTTTATTATTATGACAAATGAAAGAGATAAAATATATTTTTTAATGGAAACTTTATAGGATTTTTCTAATAGGTATTGCTATTTTTCCTGTGTGGAGTGTTTTTGCAATTTAATTGTATCTGTATAAGCTGTAATATCATTTTATAGAAAGTGCATTATTTAGTCAATTGTTTAATGTTGGAAAGTATATGAAATATGTTATCTGAATATCAGATGCTCTGAGAAATTGAATGTATTTTATTTAAAAGATTTTATGGTTTTACTATATATAAACAATATCATTAAAGTTTTCAAATTATTTTTTATTGCTTTTCCTCTTGTTTTTATTTGAATGGGCCATTCATGGGTCTTCTCCCCTTAGATCACTAGAATAGGTAGGAGTTGTTAAAAATACCGATTCCTGGACAAATCTGCTGAAAATCTCTCGGGGTGAGGGGAGAAACCTGCATTTTTAACAAGCTCCAAAGTAATTATTATTACTCTGAAGCTGGAGAATTCCTGAAGTCAGATTTAGTGTACAGACTGGTGCAAGCCACTTACAGCTGTTGCCACAAACATCGAGACCCCAAACTATGGAAGCTCTCTTGGCTTCAAATAATAGAAACTGGCACCCCTTACTTTCAGAAAGAGAAATTGATTTGATTTAAAAGTCGTTACCCCCCCCAACAATTTGCGTATATCATAATCCCCAGAATCTGTGAATGCCACTTTGTTTGGAATAAGAGTCTTTACGAATATAATTAGGGATTTTTTTGAAATGAGGAAATCGTACTGGATTATCAAACTGGGCCCTAAATACAGTGACAGTTTCTTCATGAGAGACGCGCAGCCTGGACAGACAGAAGGTGACGTGGAGAGAGGCAGCGTGGAAGAGATCTACCCACGGGCCAAGGAGAGGAGAATGCAGATTTGCCCCCAGGGCCATTGTGGGGAGGGCAGCCTGCTGACGTCTTGACTGAGAGTCTCTGGCTTCTGGAACTGTGAGAGAATAAATTCGCACTGTTTTTAGCCAGGCCATTTTTCATAATTTGCTACATCGGCCTCAGGAAATGAATACAGGTGGCATCCAAGCTTCAGAAAGGGCGGAAGAACACAGTCCTGGGTCTTCCAGGAGCTAAAGTTCTAGCTCTTTCTCCTCATCTCAGATCTCTGTATCTTTCACTCTAAACTGTCGAGTGTCCAGGAAATAGATTCTGATTGTCTTGGGGTGGGGTTGATGTAAAGACATGACCGAAGAGGACCTATCCTTCCTTGTTTATCAGGATCATTTCCAAGAAGCGTCTTCCTCCATACACATGGTCCACCACATTCTGTCCTTCCCTCACTTTATCGTGACTTACTAGAATGTAACATTGACAGGAATTAACCTAATGCTTGTGAAACCGCATTAGCCATGGTCAGTTTCATAGATCCAGGTGATGGACATGGAGAACAGGCATGCCGCCACTGCCGCAGTTGATTCAGAGACACCATGGGAATCAAATGCTGAAGGGTTAATTTAATTGGGAGGTCAGGGCCTAAGTAATGCGCTGCACTTTCCCTTCAGAAGCTCCTGTTCCTCTGCTAAGTTTCTCATGTTCAGAAAATGAAGTGGCCCCCACCAGCCAGCTAAGGTTTAAGAAAAATTCTGAAAAATGGTGCCAACTAGATGATTCAAACTGTTTGACTGGCGCCCCTGGCTACTCTTTGGAGCCAGTTTACCTCAAGCTTCTCTTTTAAGTGAAATAAAATACAAAAACATCATGTTGGTCAACTTTTATTTTCTTTTAATTGAATTCTGAAATGATTTTCTCTATCCCTAGAATCAGAAATTTTCTTTTTATTGACAATCATATTTAGAAACCAACAGCTGATTGCTAGGTGCATGTTCATTGCTCCTGAAAAACCATTGCTTTCTGGTCTTCTTAATGGACAGAGCAAGTAAACAGATGCATAGAAATTAATCTGAGTATGCAAACATACATATTTATGTGCAGGTATGTGTCCTGTATAATCTATCAGGTACATGTGTGGACTCCACTGAGTTCATTGTAGCCTTTATCTTCCTCTCCTCTGATTACTTATAACGTCTTTCTCTAAACATGGCTCACATTAAAACTTATTTGCTTAACCAAAGATACAGACAAAGTATTTACATAAATGCCAATAAGGGCCCCATGACCAGCAAAATCCCAGGGTCAGTACTCAGGATCTTTGTCTCCAGGGTTCATAACAAGTCCATCACCTACCAATACCTTCCAAGGAGTCTGTCTAAGACTTTCCTTAGCCTTAACTATCCACTTCTTAAACATCTTGTCTCTGTTCTCTCTATGAATTCTTAGAAACCACTGTGCTTGTTCCCATCCCTATAATTTTGCCTTCTCCAAAATGTCACGAGAACCACATCATACACTATGTTACCTTATTTGTGACGTGCCTTCACTTAACAAAATGTATTTCCGACTACTCATATTGTTGTGTGAATCAAAAGTTTGTTCCTTCATATTTCTTAGTATTGCATCAAAGGATGAACCAAAGGTTTTGGTTATCCATTCACCAATCATCATACATTTTAATTGTTTTCTTTCAGGTGATTAAAGCTACTAAAAATATTTGTATACAGACTTTGATGTATACATAAATTTTTTAGTACACATAGGTAAATACCAAGGATTAAGATTGCTGGGTCATACTCTAAGTGGATGTTTAACTTTGTAAGAAACTGCCCCTCTCTTCTAACTGGCTGGACCACTTTACATTCCCCCCAGCAAGCGAATGAAAGCTATTGTTGTACATCATTGCCACTCTCTCATGTTGTTGGCTTCATTTATTTTTATTTTAGCCATTCTTGTATTGTGTCACGATTCCCTACTGTGTTTTTAATTTGCATTTGCCTGATGATTAACTGTATTAATCTGCTAGGGATGTGATAACAAAATGCCACACACAGAGGTGGTTTAAACTATGAAAATTTATTTCTCATAGCTCTGGAACTTGGAAATCCCAGCTGAAGGTACTGTCAGGGCTGGCTTCTGGCAAGGACTTCATTACCAGCTTACTTATGGCAGCCTTCTTGTCGCATTCTCAGAACATCTTTCCTCTGCAAATGCACTGGTGTCCCTTCCTTTCCCTACAAGGAGTCTAAGATATTCCTTAGCCTTATCTACTTAAAGATATTGCTTCAAAAAATCACTAAGTTATAGTGATTTGTCGAGAGGACACAAGAAAATCCAAAACACTAATGATGTTAAGCACCATTTCCTATATTTATTAGTGTCTGTATATCTTCATTGGTGAGGTTCCTGTCAAGTTCTTTTGCCCATTTAAAAATTATATTGCTTACTTTCTAATTGTTGAGTTTTAAAAATACATTCATATTCTGAATAGAAGCTTGGTCCCAAACATGTTATTTAGAAACCTTGTTACTCAATCTGTGGCTTATCTTTTAATATTATTATTATTCACAAAACAGAGATTTTAGATGCTAATATAGTTTATCATTTCTAAAATGAACTGTGGATCAGAGCAGACTGGTGAGGACTGCCCAGCCAATGCAGGGAGCTCACTGCTCCCCCACCTCCAGCACCCCAGGTCTTCATCAGAGCAGACCAGTGAGGATGGCCCAGCTATATGGGTGTCTTATAGCACCCCCCATGCTCTTGGGCCTCCTAGTTGTGCCAGTACCTGGACCCACACTGCAGAGGCACAGGTGGTCATAAAGGCCATTGTACTGAGCTCCAGAAGATAGAACTAGAAGTGAGCAACTGCAGAAAAGGCACACCAGACCACTGTAGTGGATAAATTGAAGGGATCACCACTTTCTTTCAGAACTTAGACTGTCTTCAGGGGAAGTGCAGCTGGAATCTGCTGTACAACCTTGCAAAGTTTCACCCTGCAGAAGGTCAGAGAGCTCCTTGGGCCTTGCAGCCAGAACTCAGCCTGAATCTCAGTCATCTGCCATTAAGACTAATTGACTTAGTTCTGCACATTGCTGCCTACATTGTCTATTGTGACAGCAGAGGTATACCACGAAAGAGGCTCTTCAATTGTGTTCCTTTCTTTTTCTCTTATTTTTAATTTTAATTTTTAAAATTTTATTTTTTCCCACTCTG